CTCTGTCCGTTGGTTGTTTGTATTATTAATCTATCACTAGATGCAACATTCGTTCCTTCTTTCTTCCAGGACAAAGAGGGTACTGGGTTCCCTGTGGCCTTGCAACTGAGTGTTGCATTGGTGTTATCGAATATGTACTGGCTGATGGGGTGGGTTAGAATCGAAGGGTTTGCTGAAATATACAAAATAACAAACAACAAATGAAAGAACGAGAAATGAAAGGAAGAAAATATAGTTTATAGATTTGCTAAAAGACGAGAAACKTCATMAGTACTGACTTACATTTTACAGTTAATATCGCATCGTTCGATGTTGAAATATTTCCGGTGTCATTAGCAACACAAGAGTAATTGCCTGCATCTGAAGCAACGAGTCCAGTGATTACCAGTGTACTCGATTGATTGTTTGATGTGACATTATATCTAGAGTCAGAGGCAATGTTTGTCGAGTCTTTCTTCCATGTGAATGTAAGCGTTGGGCTTGCTGTGGCAGAGCAATTAAATGTGACGTCGAACCCTTCGAATTGTGATTGGCTGATTGGCTGGGTTGTTATGACTGCATCACCTGTGTAAGAAATCGCATRAACAGTTTTKAATATATAAACATTAGCTTGGTGACTTTGATTAAACAAACAACCGACCATGCATGCATAATCCATCGAAAAGATGATAAATGCCAAATGAAACCAAGGTTGAATTTCACTCAACCAACAATATACGGACTTGGACTGATTAAGTCCCACCAGAACTAAATCAGATTTAGCTAAGTAGAAGCTAAATGCATTCAGCTAATTAATAGCTTCTGAAGATTGGTTCATTGTTAACATTAATGAAACAACAACAAGAAGGAACGGAAATGGCACAAAATTGAAGCAATATATATTGAAAAGAAGCGGTTTTAGACAGTGTATTTCCTTCTCAAACTGACTTGTTTTACAACGCTCAAATTAAACACAGGTTTCTACATAAAACGTTGCCTTGCCTTTTGAAATAAACTGGTCCTAATATAGGCGCATTAACTGGGCCAATCGTATTACGCGTTCAAAAGGAAGTAAGAGATGTAATGCGCATGCGCATGATAGCCTTAGTACTAAATCGCATTTCAGGCAGGTCTAAACTGAAGTAAGAATCTATCCATCAAAATTCAAAAGCAATATTATAAAATACCTCTGTTAATAAAAAGAACTATTAAAATAAATGACCATGTATGCGTCACATGCAGTCACAGACAGGACTATAGTTAACTTGTGACCTAATAAACAAGCGAATTGGTCGCAACTTTCGAAAGAAAGATAACGAAAGCTATTATTCCAACCCTTCAGAAACTGCGATAGAGGTAAAGCAAGTAATAAAAAGTCAAGTTGATTTTGTTGCTCATATGCCAGACCCGACCACCGACTTACAGCCAGTTTAAATAGTAACCCC